ATATATAAATAAAATATTAATAATATAAAATCTCAAAGTTAAGCATAAGATAAGCCTTTGTCTGGAGTTCTGCTAATCTGATGACTTTATCAATAATATCTGTTTACATTGCAAGATAAACAAAGATAACTACGCAATTTTCGCACAGAGTTATTCTATACAATATTAATTAAGTTCATATAATAATCTATATTATATAATTTTTGCAATACACTTATGATATATGAACTTATTTTAAATTTATACATATTTATCAAAAAAATACCGATGAATCACCCACAAATATATAAACTGAAAATTATGTATTAATAAAGCATCTTTTCCTGTAATGATATTTGCAGAGACAGAATCCAATATATAATTCCTTCTGAAACATCCTCTATATAGCATAGTAATTTAATTTAGTCCTTTATTTATCCTTTATTTAGAATTCTGTTAATCAGACTGGTTGTCAACAATCTTTATTTACACCCGAAGATACACGAGCTCTCTTTTGTATGTAAACACTGGCTTACACACACACATTCATCCAATCGTATACATATACTTATTGACAGTTTACTCTCAAAAACCACTTTCTGTAGAAAAATCCTACTTTCATCGTCGTTTTGGACTTACAGAATCCGTTTGGTGAACCGGACGCGTGCCAGCCAACCCCGAATATGGGCCTGGATCAGGGTGGCCGCGGCCTCCCTGCGCTTCTCGTGAGCTCGATCCTCGCGCGCGGCCTTCTTTTGCTGCAGGAAACTGCCCTTCGACGACGAGCTACCCTCCGCACAGAACATCCTTGAATCTGTGATCGTCTCTTACCCCCGTAGGGCCCGAACAACCCTCCGGACACCTACGTTTCTCCTCGTCGTCGTCGTCGTCGTCCTCGTTCGCTGCTAACTAGTAGACATCTTCGAGGCATCCTCGTCAGCTGACGGGTATCTACCGAGCTCCCCTCTCCCTCCTGTCTTAGTCATAAACTAGAGTCATACTATAGAGTGGCTCCTGCCGTGACAGGCAGCGTGGCAATATATAAAGGACAGCAATCCCCACAATGGTATTTCTGTCCTTTACATATTTCCACGCTGCCTCTCACGATAGAGGCCGATCTATTCTAAGTCTATGGTTATCGCGCATCTGCCGCGTATCGTATCCGTATCCTCGATTCTCGGCATCCCTCTTGCGTCTCGCGGCGCGTGTGCATCAGTGGTCAGTGTGCGTCTTTGACGAGCGTGTGTACTACGTTGTACCTCTCTTGATGAGAGGAAATAGCGGATTTTTCGTCAACACGTTTCGAGATTTTGCGAGGTCGCGCGAAATTTCGTGAGAGAATTAATCCCGCGAGCGAGGGAGGGACATATCCGTCGTCGTCGTCGTCGCCGACGTCGACGATGACGCGGAATCGTCGACCGTGGGAAAAGTCGAAAATGTTCCCACGCTCCCGCTACGCTGCAAGTGTATGTCGCGCGTGCGTGTGAAATTCCACAGGGAGGGAACGTCGGTGAGCGGGCGGAGGGGGATGAGAAGAGGATGAGCGCCCAGGGGCAGGAGCACGGACACGCGGTGGTCGTGTGGGAGTGGGAGAATCGTCACGGACGATGGAGGCCCTACAGTCCGGCTGTGTCCCAGCATCTCGAGCGGGCCCATTACAAGAAACTTACGCGGGTGCTCCTCAACGACGCGGATCCCACCCTTGACAGGTTGGGATAAGCGACAAATGATCGCGTGTATATCATGCGTTTGTCCGTCATAATTGCAATGCCTTGCATTTTTGCGCGTTCAAGATGAGGCAGGTGTATGTTTGGGTCTTGGGGAGAGAGAAAGAGAAAGCGCGAGAAATGTGATGCGCGGATCTTATTTAATGTCCAATTGATCTTGATAGTTTAATGATTGTCAACTCCTTGACAATTCCCCTCCATTATTTATCCATCTAGTTTGGTTTGCTCCAAAATTATTTTGTTGGAAGAAAGTATAATATAAATATTTCCATTCTCCATTATTTATCTATCTAGTTTGGTTTGCTCCAAAATTATTTTGTTGGAAGAAAGTATAATATAAATATTTCCATTCTCCATTATTTATCTATCTAGTTTGGTTTGCTCCAAAATTATTTTGTTGGAAGAAAGTATAATATAAATATTTCCATTCTCCATTATTTATCTATCTAGTTTGGTTTGCTCCAAAATTATTTTGTTGGAAGAAAGTATAATATAAATATTTCCATTCTCCATTATTTATCTATCTAGTTTGGTTTGCTCCAAAATTATTTTGTTGGAAGAAAGTATAATATAAATATTTCCATTCTCCATTATTTATCTATCTAGTTTGGTTTGCTCCAAAATTATTTTGTTGGAAGAAAGTATAATATAAATATTTCCATTCTCCATTATTTATCTATCTAGTTTGGTTTGCTCCAAAATTATTTTGTTGGAAGAAAGTATAATATAAATATTTCCATTCTCCATTATTTATCTATCTAGTTTGGTTTGCTCCAAAATTATTTTGTTGGAAGAAAGTATAATATAAATATTTATTATTTATTTCTATTTATATTTAATAAAAAACAGAGAGAAATAATTAATCTTTTTGCTGAATATTTTAATAAAGTTACAGAAATTTAAATTTATATAATTATCCTAAAAAAGACCATATATACAATAATGTATACAATAAAGGTATAATTTTTTTTGTTTAATGTAATTTTATTAATGCAATTAATAACTTGTTTAACGTAATTAATAACAATTTTGATCAATAATGTTAATTGTTAAAATCTAATATGATAAAATAGATTATGCATTCTGTAATTCAATCTTTGAACTTTGAAACATTATATGAAATTGTTTGAAAATTAGGTATTACATAAACTTGAGGACCAAGACACAATGCAGTGACGACGGCGACGAGACGTACAATGTAAGGAGAAGATTTTATTTACCTGGCTCACCGGCCGGCAAAGGCGCCAAGTGGGAATGGGCAGGTGATTCAGATGATTGGCATACTTATGATATGGAAGTTCAATGCCTCATAGAAGAAGCATGGGCGAGAGTAAGCAGAGGAACACTACAAGATAAATAATATTGTATTTTAGACTTTTTATTTATTTCTATTTATATTTAATAAAAAACAGAGAGAAATAATTAATCTTTTTGCTGAATATTTTAATAAAGTTACAGAAATTTAAATTTATATAATTATCCTAAAAAAGACCATATATACAATAATGTATACAATAAAGGTATAATTTTTTTTGTTTAATGTAATTTTATTAATGCAATTAATAACTTGTTTAACGTAATTAATAACAATTTTGATCAATAATGTTAATTGTTAAAATCTAATATGATAAAATAGATTATGCATTCTGTAATTCAATCTTTGAACTTTGAAACATTATATGAAATTGTTTGAAAATTAGGTATTACATAAACTTGAGGACCAAGACACAATGCAGTGACGACGGCGACGAGACGTACAATGTAAGGAGAAGATTTTATTTACCTGGCTCACCGGCCGGCAAAGGCGCCAAGTGGGAATGGGCAGGTGATTCAGATGATTGGCATACTTATGATATGGAAGTTCAATGCCTCATAGAAGAAGCATGGGCGAGAGTAAGCAGAGGAACACTACAAGATAAATAATATTGTATTTTAGACTTTTAACTGTAAAAATTTTTTCCAGGGTGACAAGACTATTGATATTTCCAAAACTTACTTGGGTTTTCCCTA